TCTATTAACAGATTCTGCGATCAGAAGCCATTGATCTATAGAGATCTGTGTGATCTCAAGCAAAACAAGTTTCATCAACTTTAGCCTAGAAATCTAGTTGTGACTATACTGGCAATCGAAAGTCAGCATCATCATTGCCTTTCTCACCCTGCACCAGGGTATAGGCCACGGACAAACACCTTCCACCTTTCTCTATCCTGGGCTAGCCTCTTGATGTTATTCCATGTCTTCCCACTTTTCTGTACATTGATTTCTGTGATTCTTCTCCAGGTTCCACGCGGTCTTCCCCTTGATCTCTTACCCTGTGGGTTCCAATCCAAAACTTTCTTTGTTATGCAGCTGCCTGACTTCCTGAGAGTATGTCCAATCCATCGCCATCGCCTTCTTCCTACCTCATCTCTGACTGGGATCTGTCTTGTTTTCCTTAACACTTCCACATTGGTGACCCTGTCTGTCCATCTGATCCTCAGTAACTTTCTTAGACACTTGTTCAAGAAAACCTGGATCCTCTTTATGCAAGTATGTGATGCGTTCCATATCTCACATCCATACAACAGGACCGACTTCACATTTGAATTCTCTGGTCTTCCAAATCCTATCCAAATATAAGAAAGCAGTCTGCGCTTTTCCAATGCGGGACTTTATTTCAGCACCTGTTCCTCCCTCTTTGTCAATTATACTCCCAAGATAGCACAAGGATTCAACGTTTTCTAGTGCCTTTCCTTCTATTGTTACCTGCTCCTTTCGTTGTGCATCTGTCCTTAGGACCTTTGACTTTTCGGGGTGGATCTTCAATCCAACAGACTCCGATATGCTGTTTAATACTGAAGTCTTTGCTTGCATCTGTTCCTGGGTGTGCGACAGAAGCGCCAAGTCGTCTGCAAAATCCATATCGTCCAAGTGAGTCCATGGTGTCCACTATGTACCATTTCAGTGTCCTCTGGTGGTTTCCTTCATCAGCCAGTCAACTGCCAATATGAAGAGGAACGGTGATAATAAACATCCCTGTCTCACACCAGTCTTGATGTTAAAGCTGTCAGTGAGCTGGCCATCATGTACAACCCTGCAACTTGTCCCTTTGTACATGCTCTTGATGGGGTTCACCAACTTCAGTGGGATTCCGTGGCCTCTCATTATCTTCCATAGTGTTGCTCGGTCTATACTGTCAAAGGCCTTCTCATAGTCAAGAAAGTTGACGATCAGCTGGGAGTTCCACTCCAGGGACTGTTCTACAATAATCCTCAATCTGGCAATCTGGTCGGAGGTGGAGCGATTTTTCCGGGAACCATCCCGTTCATCCCGTAGTCTTGGAGCAATCGAAAGTACAATGATGATAATATTGTGAGATAGACTAAGTCCCAAGCCCTCAGCTCTCGGGGGCGGTACTGTCTACTGAGGCTACTGAAGGCACGCAAGCAGCTAACCACACAGTCATGTTCTAAGTTAATTAACTCTTCAAGCATGAAACAGACACATCTGTCCGACCACCAGCAGACCTAAGTCAATGTCCCAACACATTTCCAACTACCAAACACACATCTTTCTTTTTCTTCCAATAACCATCCACCAGGCCAGCTTGGTTGCCCACTAAGACCTGGGGGAGACCTTGATTACAGAGGCGGCATCTCAGCTCGTATGGGATTCTATCATTTGTGAATAGCATCTAAAACTGGTGGTTCTGTGATTTTCCTTCCATCCCGGGGTAAGAAATAAAGCAGTGGCTGAGGTGCAATGCCACAAACAAAAACCCAACTCCATCACAGAGAGATTGTAACAAAAATGAATGGGTATGTTGGTGCCTGTTGTATTATATTGAGAAGTTGTTTTAGGAGATAAAGAAGAGAAAGATGCTATTAAGAGCATAGATGCTGTGTGTTGCTGAAATGCAAAAATTATAATATAATAATAATAATACTAATAGTAATAATAATAATAATAATAATAATAATAATAATAATAATAGATAGCATTTGTATAGCGCATATCCCCGCTAAACAGCAGGCTCTATGCGCTTTACACTATATTATTACCCCTGCAGACCATAGAACACTCCGAAACATTCTCAGCTTCCCGGGAAGCATACAGTGCGAGCAGCCGATTAAGTGCTCAAACACTAACAAACTGACAAGATCTTTCGCTGTCTATAGCCGGGTACCCATTCCCACCTGGGTGAAGTGAGGAAAATTCGTGTAAAGTGCCTTTCCCAAGGACACAACGTTGGGCCCTTGACGGGATTCGAACCCACGACCTTACGGTTGCGAGTCCGAGAGCCTAACCTCTAGGCCACCGACGCCACTTGGAAGCTAGATTTCCCCCCTCCTACCAGAGCAACCAAGTCCTCTCATCCGAGAGATGGGGGCAGGGGAAGGTATGGCAGATCCCAGAGGGTTAATGTTGTCAACAAGCAAGACGCAAATGGTCTCTGCACCTTCTCCGCAGTCATAGGGCTCTCGTGCATGCTTCATACATGTATGCAGCTGGGTATTCCCTACGTAAAGTCACATCCAGTACAGTGCTGATAATGAACCTCTGCTTTCCACCCCACCAATACCCGTCCCAACTCCAGGTCAAAGAAAGGTTGTCGATGGAGAGAGGAGAAAAGAAAAGTTAATAAATGAAATAAAGTAAAACAATAAAGACAATATAAATAGAAAGAGTAAAAAACATAATAAAGTAATATGTCTCTTTTCGGGGTCACCCCTTGACCCGTTAGCTTCCTCTTTTTCTTTTCCTATTCGAAGAGTAAGCGTACTAATCCCCCCCACCACGAAGAGGTGGGTCTATTTGGGGGGGCCAAACACACATCAGAAACGCGGATTTTCTTAGTTCATAATAAGTAGACGTCTATGTTGTTGCCGATCCGAAGAAAACAGTTTAAGTGAAAAATCTGCATGAATAACAAAGTTATGCATGCGCCTTTTATAAAATGTCCTCAAAACATTTATGTTGCCAGCGACTAGCGTTGTTAGAAGACGCGGCCAAAGGTCAAAAGACTACATGGCACGGTGCTCAATAAGAAATTTATATTTGGAAGTGCCTATTCGCAACGCCACCTTGCCATTAGCGCCAGCGCTAAATAACACACTGCGTTGCGATTAGCGCCAGTGCTAAATAAAACGCTGTGTCGCCGTGTGTTAAATATAGAGCTTAATCTACCTTTCGTTGTTGGGAGTTCTGATGGCTGAATGGACAGCGCGTCTCGTATGAAGTCAAACCATCATCTTCTGAGCGTGGGTTCGAATCCCGGTTCGGGAAGGGGTTTTTTTCTCTTCTTCTCCTCTTCCCGACTGACCAACAATTTTTCCCCATAATTATCATAACTAGTTGCTTTGTAGTTTTTTATGTAGTGATGAAGCATGCACATTCTGGTTTTGTCCCTAAGAGAAGCTTTTACCTACAAAGTATATTATATTTTTCTTCTTACAAATATAATTAGGCCTGGTTAAAGTTCAATGGTCCTATGTGGCTTTCCTTGGTCTGTGAGTCTAATTATTCTTTTTTTTTTTTATTTTAGGCTCAGGAGAAGAAAAAAAAAAAAAACTTCCGTGACCGGGATTCAATTCCACGCTAATATCTTGTTTCCATTCTTTTCTTTAGCCTTAGTCACGTTCAACAAGAGGTCGGACCCAACGAGGACAAGAAGCCGGTCCCGGCAACCTCGTTGAATGCGATACATATTGTAATAGTTTTTTAAATATCGGATTGTTCTTAATAGAGATAGACGTGCTTTGGACCAATCGGGGATTCCAGGGGGGCCTGCCCCACTGGGGTAAGAAAATCTGGGGGGTTACAGGGGGGCATGCCCCCCTGTTTTAACCCATACTTTGATACTTTACAGTTGATTTGAAATTTTCTTGAAAATATTTGTTTGCGACAGTTTTAGAGGCTTTATGTCTGATCTGCAGCAAACAGCGCACAGTTCGACCCCCAAAGCAGTGCATCTGACATGCAGATAACTTTAGAACGACAGATGTACGCCATTGGCCAATATTTATAATAACAACCATCTTGTTTGGCGTCGCTTTACTTCCCAACTCAAAGTCAGGTACCCATTACAGGTGGGTGGGTGAAAAAAAAATCTGTGGCCGAACCGAGGCTCAAACCTAGACTTTCAGCTTTGGAGACAAGCGCACTAACCACTCCGCCACCACGCCACTGTAGGCTACAGGCTTTAAAAATACTGCATAGAGTGCTTTGCGGTCGTGTTGCCACCGTGAACGACAACAAAGTGGGAATCCCTCAATGGTGAAAACAAGATGGTTGTTACTATAAATATCGGCCAATGGCATACATCTGTTGTTCTAAAGTCATCCGCATATGTGTGCATCTGCGTGTAGTGCATCTGTGTGAGAAAGTGAAAGTAAAAATGTACAAATTTACATAATAAGGATGTTGTCTTGATTCATTTTATGAATTCATCAACTACGGCGGGTTAGCATTAATTAGTTCTATTTATTTCATTGTTATTATAGCCATGTAAATAATGTAAAAGCCATAGATATCTAGATCTAGAAGACCTAGAGATCTTAGGCCTACACATAGATCTAGATATCTATGGTGTCGGTGGCCTAGTGGTTAGGCTCTCGGACTCGCAACCGTAAGGTCGTGGGTTCGAATCCCGTCAGGGGCCCGACGTTGTGTCCTTGGGAAAGGCACTTTGCACAAATTTTCCTCACTTCACCCAGGTGGAAATGGGTACCCGGCTATACACAGTGAACGATCTTGTCAGTTTGGTAGTGTTTGAGCGCGTAAAATCTGCACCTTGCACTGTATGCTTCCGCGGAAGCCGAGAATGTTTCTGAGTGTTCTCAGAGGGTCTGCTGGGGTGATAATGGTTGTAAAGCGCATAGAGCATGCTCTTGAGCGTGGATATATGCGCTATATAAATGCAATTATTATTATTAGATCTAGATCTAGATCTAGATTCTAGAATCTAGACTCTACATAATTTAAGAACGTCCATTTTAGAAGTTGTATCTCAATCTATTCTCTATACTCACCAGTTCATACATTTTTCAAGTTGTAATATTTCAGACCGATGCAGCAAAGAAAAATAAATAAATTTTGCGATCAGAAGCCACAAGCAGTCTATGTGCTCTCAAGCAGAAGAATCCAGCCTGTTGGCCGTTCACAAAATCTGATATGAGGTCTATACTGCACGCAAGACAGACACAAAACAGCCGACCGTTTCACTGCAAACAGCAGCTGATGCTATCGTGAAGAAGGGATCAAAACACTGCGGTCAAAGGTCGCCATCGACGGAAGTACAAATTACTGTACAAGTACAATCACTTGTACAGACAGGCGCCCCCTAGTGGTTTTGATTCTATCAAAGCCCAAATTAAATGTTCAGTTTCGGCAGGTCCAACCACAATTAGTCTAGGCCTAATCATTATGTTTGATAGTGTTTCTTTCTTTTAGGCCTAAATTCATAAGACCCTCCCCCCCCCCTTAGACTACACACCCGTTTCAGTGCGTAGGAGTAGTCAATAATGTAGTCAAAGGCCGCTATAATATTATAGATAGAGATGTTGATTCAGCTCCCGTTGAAAATTATTTGTTGCCTTCAAACTACGGTGTCTTTCATTGCTTCAAACTCCCTTTGATCAAACTACATCATCATGTAGTGAAATTTAATGGCAAATCAGAAAAGGGAGGGATACTCTTACTTAATAATGCTAATGGGAAAGATAATATTACATTACATGTAATTCATTTATTATTATGTTAATTCTTTCCTTTGTAATGAAGAGCGTGAGTGAATACGTGTCGTGAGGATTATGTTGGGTTCTTTTTGGTTGTTGCTGTTTTTGTTGTTTGGTGCGTTCTTTTTCGGGGTGGGGG